CCAGCACTCAATCCACTGAGCTACACCAGTCAGGGCTATATTCACTTTAAATGGTTTAGGATTTTGTGTGTCAACTATAACTCAAGCTAATTTACAAAAAAAAAAAAAGAAAAAGAAAACGAAAGTGAGAAGCAGGTTCTAAACCCATGAAGATGAGGTACAAGAGTAGAATTAAGACAACGAGCTTTGGAGCATGACCACCAGGTTAAATCAGACTCTACCAACAAGTAGCTGTCTCATCTCAGGCTGGTTACTGAGTCTCTGTGTGCTTCACTTTCTCATCTGTGAAATGAGTATGAAACCAGTAATGGCCTCACTGGGCTCCTGTAAAGATTCAGTGAGATAAAAGAGTTCAACTGTCCTCGACACATGGTAACACTCAACAAATGCTATTATTAATCATCTGTGTTATACTTGACGTAATTGGCGTAAACTACATATTTTTCCTAGATGGTACAATTGTGGGTTTTTATTTTCTTCCTCGTACCTTGCCATATTTTCCTAACTGGGAATTAAGAGGTATATGAGACTTTTATGGAATAAAACAATAATTTAATGGAATACAAAAAAATCAACAGAGAACATCTGGAAGCCCTTGGCGGAGTGCCTGGCACACAACAGCTCTTCCAGCCACTTGTTGGAATGGCATCGCTGGTTGTCCTATCCAGCTGATGTCGAATCAGTGACTCACGCCCAAGACCGCTGAGAGCTGCCTGCCCTCACTGACGGCTTCCTCGGGGCAGTGCCTCGCCCTCATCCTTTCAAGACTGTGAGCAGATTCTGCCCCAGTCCCCCGCACGGGAATAATTCCACCTTAGTCACTGCCAGTGAGTCACCTGGGCACGTGCTGAGTGAGATTACATCCTGCATAAATGCTGGCTGACAGAATGTTATATGACAATCTCAATACCAAAACATTCCATAAAAGTCAGCAGCTTATTGTTCTATATACAGTAAGTATCCCACCTTTTCAAAGAATAATTTCTAACTTTTCATTATGCACCATCACTCCCATTAAACACTGTTTATTCTCAAGGCTTCCATGTGAGGTCATCACTATAGGTGTCCCAAGCTGCAGAAGACACATAACTCACTCCAAATGATGGCAAAGTTAAAAAGCAACATTTTTTTAAAAACTCAAGTTTTGTTTTAGATCTAATATAATATTCAGCTTCAAAAAGGTTTTGGGTATAAGAACCATATGGTTTCACTCACATGCAGGATATAAAACAAAAAGCAACAAACAGACAAAACAAACTCACACACAGACGACAGAATGGCGGTTACTGGAGGGGGCAGGGGTGCAGCAGGATGAAGAGGGTAAAGGGGTCAAGTGCAAGGTGCCAGGAGACTAGACTTGGGGCGATAAGCAAACAAGGCAATAAACAGATGACGTATGATACAACTGTACACCTGAAATGTACATAACATTAACCAATGTTACCCCCCAAAATTTAATTTAAAAGAGGTTCTGGAGACAGACTAATGCAAGAACAGCAACTTCAAAACAGTATGCCTTGTGTTGTATTGTCACTTTACTTTTAATCATCAGCCCCAAAAGTGTAAACCATGGTAGGGTTCCAGTCTTGAGAGAATACGGATATACTCAAATACCTTCTGATGACATCCAGAGCTCTACTGTCAAGTTCACTGCCCCAGGTTAGCAGTTCACACTGGCCCCCTGACCAGGAGCCTCAGGATCACCTGGCAACTGGGTTGAGAAGTGCAAATTGCTGGCTTCCACCATGCCCTACTGAATCAAAACCGAGACTGGGGCCTAGAATTCTGACTTTTAACTAGTCTTCCTGGTGATTTGGACGCAGATGAAAAGTTTGAGAAACACTCCTCTAGAAACACGAACCCAATTAAAATCACTGAACTGTTTAAGTGTTAGAAGTCTGGGGAGTAAGTTCCCCTGGGCAGAAAATGACCCTTCAATCTGCGCTTCGTGGTGCTCAGGGAAGCCCGAAACTGGTGATCTGTCGATTTCACTGCAGAGTGAAAAGTGAAGAGAAGACGTCCTTGAGGAGCAAACCACCCGTGAACCTGCAGCAGAGGGAGGGTCTGAAATGTCATCATGCAAGATCCGGCTGACGACAGAGGCAGCAGTCTCTGGAGGGAGTTAAACAGTGTGCTGAAATTAAGAATCTGATCCCTAGGTCTGATTTGTTGGAAAAATTCTGGGAAAGTCACAACCTCAGTGCACCATTAGCAAAAATGCAATTTTTAAAATCCCTGTCATTAACACTCCACAGCTTTGGAACCAGCTGCTACCTACCAGTCGCAAAAGCTTAAAATAATTAACCCATCAGAAGTCCCATCTCTCAGCCATTGTGAGGATTATTGTAATTTGACAAACACTTCCCTATCACCTCTGATAAATAATAGGAACTTAATAAATGTTAATGGTCACACTGATGAAATATTTTGTCATTTTCATAAGAGGTAGAAACATTTAGTTATGAAAAAGGCATTGCAGAAGCACATCATACTAGAAGAAAACTTCAATTTTTACCCAATGAACTTCAATTCCATGGAAGAACCTACATTCAAGGTGTAAGTAAAGACTAAGAAATCAAAAAAATTAAATAGATATAAATCTACTATGAGGAACGGGGAAAACAATTATTTGCATCAATTAAATTATAAATTAGCGGTCACAACCTATCTACACTTATAATATTGCACCAGACTAGGAAGCGTGCAAGTTATAAACGTTTCGCGTGAAGTGGAGAGGAACTTTGGCTAGCTAGGAAAAGTCACAACCCACTCTGAGATCTGGAAGAACACTGGCGGGACTCGTGGTAAACCTGAACTTGGTTCTACCTCCTATGAGGCCATGGGGACAATTCCCCAGAGCCCTGGTTACTTAGTTAGGGATACTGACAATCACCTCACATTTCCAGATGCAAAACTGCCTAGCATGGTTCCTGGCCAACACTGGTGATGTCTAGTTGCACCCGAATTTATCGAACCCTAATTTGTAATCCACATTCTAGGCAAGAGGTATACAAACATTTAGCTTACCTGGGCTTCAACGATCATGATTCCCACCTCTCAGGAGAGTACAAATTCAGTTACTTCCTAAATTCACAGCTTAAAAAGCAATCTCCATTCATACCCCTCCATTCACAACCCTGCTTCACATACCCACTTCTGATCCTCAAGACCCCGAAAGGCAGGCACAGTGATTTCATCATTCTCATTTTATGAGTGGCGATTCTCCAAGATTCCAACCCCCCCCCCCACCCCGCCCTGAGCAGAGGGACTAGTTCTGGAATGCCTCTTCCAGGACCAAACTAGTGTCTCATCCAAAAGCAAATGGAAGTGATTGCATCACACTTAAAGATAATCCTTCAATTTATTAGGAAGGTCTAGCCCTAGACCCTCAGAAAATCCCATTACAGAAAGAGTATCAGAGGCTTGAGAACCTATAAAGCATGAAGGTAGAAAATTCACAACAAAAAATGGGACTATTTCTTTAATTCAGAATTCTTTAAAATGTGTCCACCCTATGTGTGTCCACCCTTCATGTGTCTATGAAGATTGACACATGGCCGTCCAGCTAGAATCCACATTTTCCCGCCTGGGAATAAACTTAGTCCCTGCTATGCACTGTGAAGGAGAAAGATTAACCATTTCCCAGTTGCCTGATTGAAAGCACATCCCTTCCCAACTTTCTCTCTTTCCCCAACACTGGCTGGATGGGACTGGGGACAATGAAGCCACCGTGGAAGCACAGAACTGTGCTGCTGGCCTGGGTCTCTGGGTTTTCCCTGGGAGAGACACAGGCCTTCATGGTCTCTGAGCTGCTGCACAGTTGGGTCTCTGTTCTAGTAACTTAACCTCTACCCTGTTATTACAGAAAAAAAGGGAAGCCAGGGAAGGAGAGAACAGAAAAGGTAAACATTATGTTAATAAGCCATCAGGGTCTGTAGTATAGAAACCTGCTTTGTTACACAAGGAAAGGATGAGAGAGAGAGAGAAATCAACTATAGTAATGAGGGTCTTGCCATTCGCTTAATGAGAAGAGAAAATATTTAACAAACTCTGTACACAAATGAGCATGATTTTGGCAAAAAGCAAAACAAAATAATGTTGTAAAATGTGTAAAAATAAGGTCTGGATAACCAATGAAAAAAATATTAAGACATACTGCCAACAGCTCAGGATCATAAGAAAATTAAAAAACCCTCAGATGCTATTTTTAAACAGCCAGGAGACTTGGCTTAAGATTATTACTCATTATCTTCTAAAACATAATAGTAAACAATAGGTATATAAAGGATGAGCCTTGTAGTCTTCAGGAGGAAACATGCATGGCAACTTATTAAAAGCCCAGGGTTAGATTTCAACTAATCGAATTGTAAAAGCTTGTCCACAAAGGCCAGGCCAGACTAATGGCAGAGCGTGATGGCTGGAGCTTCAGGGGAAGCCTTAACGAGGAGAATGAGGCCAAGTGCTGGGTGTGGCTGGCCGAAGTACAGTAAATTAATATAATAGATCAAATAAGTACTAATGAAGACAAAACCAGCCGACAGACCATCTTTCTTTTTACAAGTTAATAAACTCTACAGCTTTGTGAACAGTAAACCCAAGTCACCTCCATTTCTTGAGACGTGAAGCTGGTGAAGGGCAGTGTGGATCTGAGAAGGCCGAGCCTTTTCTGTTTCCCAGTGAATCACCGAGAGCAAGCAGAGCTTAACTCTGAGACCTGGAACTACAAGAGAACCCTGACAAAAGAAGGCATGTGGACCAAGTCATTTTAGCTTTCCAAATAAAACTGTTATTAATATACCTTTGATTCAGCCACAATTCCTAGTCTTGAGCATCCAGTAACTCACAAGTGTTGATTAGGTTCTAGTGCAGCAGAAGCCCGTGACCAAACATACTTACAAAATCAAAAGTGCACTTTAAAACCCTCTACAAATGTTTGGGCTTTACTTACAAAACCCACATCAACGATCCCAAAGGGTTGAGAAAAACAAAAAAGAATGAAAAGGAAAGCCACTTATTGGTACTAAAGCCTTTACTGTAATAAACCAAATATATTTACAATTTATACAAATGTTTAACCTTCAACAAAAATACAAAAAAACATTTCACAAGATGCAAAACCAGGAAACGAGTTCATTGGAGACACCACTGCGCTACCAAGGACGGAACTGAGGGGAACCGCGAGGAACGGGAAGGTGCTGTGGGCAGGTCACACGGAAGAAACAGGCCGGCGCTGCCCGGGCCGCAGGCTCCGCTCCCCGAGCCTACGCCCCTGGCCCTCTGTCCACCTTGCCTCGGTGCTCCATTTGGTCTAGGCAGGTCGGTGACCTTCTGCTGATGGACTCAGAGCCTCCTCTTCAGAGACTCAAAGTAGTTTCGTGTCAAGGTTTAAAAACAGGTTTTCTTGTTTTTAAAGTTACAACTTTTCTATTTCTACAAATGCAAAACATTTTGGCCCAATTCAACTATAAACATTAAAACACATAATGTTTTCAGTAGATGACTTCGTAGACTGTAGCCTTCTTGTCCCCTGAGCCAGTGACTATATACTTATCATCCACAGAGATGTCACAGCTGAGCACAGATGAGGACTCTTTGGACTGGAAGAGAAAAGAGTTGGGGGTGTATTTAACGTGGGACAGAGATACTCAGCGGCCCCGCTCCCTCCAAGGTACCTTCGCTCTGGCGTCACCCGAACACCACGGTCAAAATGTCGCTCTCAGCAGGGAACGCTGACTTACCTGGAATATGCTAGCTCCGTAGGGGGTCCGCCAAGCGTTGAGGAGGTTGTCTTTTCCAGTGCTCACGAACCATTTACCTAGAATTATCCAAGGGAGAGGAAGTTTAACAAGATTAAAACCCCTACCATACTTTTAGCTACATGGACCTAATCAAACTTAAAGCCATTTTCAATCATGAAGTATCTTGTCCAAGGGCTCGGCTGTGACACAAGGAGAGAAAGCAGGTTTTACATCCAGGTTCTGCTGTGAACCACCTGTGACCCTGGGTTTAATGAAAGCAGCAACAGGGACCGTGTCAGCCCCCTTAGCCATGGCAGGTAGCATCACACCCGAGCACACAGTGGGTCTTCAAACAGTGCATCATGAAATTGTTCTCCTTGCTAGCCTCCCCATGACAAAATGGGACTAGGAAGGATTAAGTGACAAAAGTGAGCGAAATGCCAGACACGATAATGTGGCACACAGAGTGTGGTCAGTAAGTCATGGCCACCCATCCGGCCAGCACCAGCCCCGTGAACATGTGATTGCATGTGAATTTCTTCCCTCTTTAGCCTCACTGCACATGACAGCCGGATACAGAGAGAGTCCATTCTCTGGCTGTGGGCTCCTCGGGCCGGCCAGTCCCTAAAGACTCCCTCTGCTCCTGCCCCAGTCTTCAGCAAAGCCCCACCCCCCTCTTCAACTAATCGTGCCCCACCCCCACCCCAGACTCTCCCCAATAAAAACAAATGTGTCAAAACTTTGTATGAGGCAATTTCACCACCTGCTGACTTTTCTCAAATTAGGAAAACAGACCAAAACAGACATCACTGTGCTCTGAGGGACATATTAAGACAAGAGAATTACTGCATGCAGCTGCTCGGAGAACAACATTTTTTCCAGATACAATTTCTACTGTATTTTTTTAGACGTCTTTCCCATTTAGGTCATCAGTGTCCTCGGGTTTCCTTTCAGCTGAACTCACCACAGTAAGCAAATTTGAGGGACAATACGCAGCTCTCGTGCAGATGCAGCTGGTACTTGTCGGGCTTGTTCACATGCAGAACTTCCACGTTGCTGCTCTCCATGCCCACAGCGAGCCACTCCCCGGTCGGGCAGTACCCGAGGGAGAATATCTACGAGAAGCAGAGAGGCTCACTAATGATTTTGCCTGGTAAACTGAGGAAGGAAAATGGCAACAAGAAAGGGGGGAGGGGACCAGCAAGAAGAGGAGTATAGAACCAGCAAACTTCAGACTGGTCAAGTCCGCAGGATAAGCGACCCAACCCAGATGATCCAAGTACTAAAAATCGTTATGAGACAACCAGAAAAACTGGAACGCATGCACATGATGACATTAAGAAGTTATTCTTAATATAATGGTATTCGTGTGCTTTGTTTCAAAGGGATCCTTGTCTTTTGCAGAGACTGAGAGACTTATGGCTGAAATGACAGAATGTCTGGGGCGTGCTATAGAATAATCCCATGTATGGGGGCAGAATGACAGACAAGACCGGTCATGTGTCACCACTGAAGCTGGAAGACGGGCAGGTGCAGTTTACTATACGACCCCCTGGACTTTCGTATGTGTCTGAGCATCCTCTGCACTCCTGGTATGCACTTGTGAGTTTACAGAAGAAGTTTTATTTTTTAAAAAAAGCAGACCAAAAATAGTATTCTACTCATACTGGGAAAAGGGTTAAAACAGAGAAAACTGTAAGAAACTCAACATTTTAACAGGAACACAAAATTTAGAAGTATATATAGTCGTTTTTCCATTTTTTCTGAGTAGAATTATTTCCATTACAAACAAGTAAGTAAACGAGTAATGATGAAAAGAATAATTCTGTCACCAGAAAGCATTTAAAATGGCAGTCTTTCCCAAAACAGGTCTAGACTCGTCATCTAAATGATCTTCACAATCCACAAAGTTGAGATTTTTATATCATTTCAAAACTCCATAAATGTAGTCAGCCATGAGTCCATTTTCTAAAGGATGAGTAATAAAACGGGCATCCACCGAGATGCCGCTGCATTTTTTTATGCTCCCTGATGCAAGAAAAAGGAATTAACTTTCAGGGCTGCTATGATTTTTCTCTGCTCCCTGGGTGACGCCTGCATGTTTTTCAAGCTCTGTTTATACGTGAGTCCAATAATCCCTCCTCACCCCCACATCAGATGGGGAGAACACACAAAAAAAGACCCCACACTGCGGAGGGAAAACGGCGTGTTCCTGACTGCGGCGATTCCTTCAACGAACTCATACACGAATATGAGCTTAACATGGCTTAACCTACAGGAGTTGAGACACTACTCGAAGGGTTTCAGGGATTTTCTGTTTGTCTGTTTGGGGTTAAAAAAAACAGTATCTCAGATTTAAACCCGGCTTGTTTGTGTAGCTGCCACTACTGTCGGGGTGTGACGGGAGGGAAAGGACGCCGCACACATGCGCATGCACACACATGCGCATGCACACACCACACAGACTCTGGGTAGGAGGAAGCCAGGCACCTGTGACGTGAAGTCGTGCTGCTGCAGCTGCCGCCCTTCGCGCAGGTCCCAGGACCGGACCGTGTTGTCCAAGCCGCCCGTCCAGAGCTTGGTGCCATCATTAGAAATGTCAATACAGCTGGCCCCGTCTGTGTGGCCCTGGAATTGCCTGATAAAACAAACCGGATTGAATAATGATTTCCTGCCAGAGCTCAAGGTAAACACTGATGTGTTGTTAGTTTTGGACTCGGGGTGTGTGTGTCAGTGTCTGCTGATGTGCAAGATCAAACTAACCTTCCCCTGAGGAGGAAGAGAGCACACCTGCATTTTCTCTCTTTCTTTTTTCACCATCCAAGTGCTAAAGAAATGGAGTGCCATTTCAGGTCACTACACAGGAGTTAAATACGCTCCTATAGCTGGCCTTACAAGCCTGTCTGGAAGGTAAAATTTCTCCCAGATCTGGAAAACTGTTTAAGTTAGGGGGAAAACAAAAGAAATAAACACACAGAATCCTAACCGTATTCCTCAAAGGGAAATGGAGGCACAGCCTTTAATCCTACGGGCCTGTATCACTACATTACAAACTCGGGGTCCAGAAGCACTCAGGTTTCCACGAGTGCATCAGCACAATGGTGGCCTTCATGCCGACAGCAAGAGCTCACGCAGCTGCTCAACCTTGCTTTCTGTGGTAGAAGGAGCCTTGCATTCGAAAATCTGGACCCCCAGAGACAACAGGTCATGCCCACCTCTGACTCAGAGGTGCTGAGTACAGACAAAGCTAACTGCTGAGGTCTTGGACCTGGTTCTGCTTGCCAAGAGGGAGCTGGCAGGACAGTGACCAGAACAGGTGAGAGACCCAATCACCACGGTAACAGGCAGGGCCCATTAGAGAGCTGCTCGGGAATTTCAACACCAAGAGGCAAGTTTTAATGCCTGTCCTTCCCGTCACCTTGTTATTCCCACAGATCTCCACACTTTTAAGCTGAGCTTCAAATTCAGTGAGTGTATAAGAGAAGAAAAAAGCACCACTGTTGTCCTCTCTTCAAAAACCTCTCCTTTGCAAGCGATTCTGAACTTCTGTCTTAGTCCTCTTCCCCCACACCCCAGTTCTTCCAAACTGTCACCATGCACTCACACCCCAATGACCTGTGTGCCTCCAAGTCCTCCCCGTGGGTCACACAGGCCAAGAGCAGCCCCTGCTTCAGCTGTTGCAAGGGCTGCTTTCCTTCCCTCCAAACATTCTTGAAACCCAGCAACCACCTCTTCATTTTTACCTTCTGACCTCTTGTTACTTCTAGAACGTGAAGTACTTTCACTCCTTGACTATAAATAAATGTCTGTGCTGACTTCCAGCGATCCATGGGTATTCCTCCATCCCTCTGCGCACACATCTCTGCCCAGAGCCTAGGATGGTTCGGAACGTGCTGGGTCACAGCAGATCCATGGGTATTCCTCCATCCCTCTGCGCACACATCTCTGCCCAGAGCCTAGGATGGTTCGGAACGTGCTGGGTCACAGCAGATCCATGGGTATTCCTCCATCCCTCTGCGCACACATCTCTGCCCAGAGCCTAGGATGGTTCGGAATGTGCTGGGTCACAGCAGATACAAAGATACCGGACAGACTCTCTACTGCCCTGCCACACAGAGTAGCTGCTATCCCCGTGTGGCCAGTCCAAACTGAGGAAGAAATTTATAAAACACCCCACATTATATCCGACAGGGATGCACTTACAGGGGGATGGCCCAGAGCAGGAGGTCAGAACACAGCTACAAAATACCTGGACCCCGATCCCAGCTCCATCACACCCAGCTGTGTGACCCCCGGCAGGTAAACTGAACCTCTCTGAACCTCAGGCTCCTCATCTATAAAAATCAGAGTAACAATAGGGCAGACACTATGAGGATTAAAAATTGAAAAGCACTGAGAACTGGTATATTGAAAGTGCTATTTCCAAAGTTAAAAAAATGAAAAAAAAAATCATGAATACTTGCTAGGTTAAAAGTCTGCAGTAGGTGTCAGCTCCAGCTTCATTAGGTGTCCACTTTGCTCAATCTGAGCTGCCCAGTGAGTGGTGAGAGAAAAACAACTGCCACCCTGTCATGCACACACAGGAACGGGCTCGGAGACACTTACTGAAGGGGCAGTGGGATGCTGTGACGGCATCCAGTCTGTCCGCCCCTGCCCCTGGCACACGGGCCCAAAAGCCTTAGGAGGAGGCCTGCTAAACAACCCGTGAGACTGAAGTCACACCGTACACAGTGTTTCCGAGTGACACTGTGAATGATGAACTGTGAAACCAAAGGGCGAAAGACATTCTGACTCCGCCTTGGATGTTTCCTTAGTGCCTACATTTTCAAAAACTCTTCTGTAACATCACAGAATTGTGTACAGGGAGCCAACTGCCGGAACCAAGGAGAGACACCAAGGCGGCAGAATGCAGCTCTCCCTACGGTTAGTGGGGCAGGTCCCAGGAAGCCGGGCTCACTCCTGGGCGAATGACCCCTTAGTTAGTTACTGAGAAACACGGATACAGGAAAACCAGTGTGCGTGAAATTTGTTTTCTTGATGTTGTAATCCTTTATTAGCTGACTCCTGTTTGTACAAACAAGGATCTAGCCAAAGCCAAAATTATCTAGCACTGGGGACCCTTCATACCACTATATGATATGATCTGCCACTTGGCAAAAACCAGGAACATTTTTGAAACAGGTCTGGCATCTATCTGTGCCTGAAGAATGATAACTGGAACACAAGAGAGTTAAATATAAAGTCTAGGGGACACTGAGCACTCAGTCAACATGGTGAGCCCCTCAAGGGAAGTGACACAACTCTTTGTACTCCCAATACCCAGCTCCAAGCCTGGCACACAGTAGGGTCTTCATGTGTGGGCTGAGTGACTGGGGCAGCTGGAGAAGCAGGGGTGAGAGGAGACCTTCTGACCCCCCACCACAGAAAACCACCTGTGCTCACCTCACCAGCGTCTGGTTGTGCAGGTCCCACACGGCGATGTTGCCGTCGCTGCAGCAGGAGAAGCAAACCTTGGAGTCGGGGCTGATGGCCAGGGCGTAGCAGGCGGGGGCCGAGGACGTCAGCTCTGCCTTGATGCGCGGGGTCGGAGCGGCCAGGTCCCAAATGGAGAGAGTGCTGGCTTCCCCTCCCACTATCAGAGTGCAGCCATCAGGGAGCAATTTGCAGGAACGGATGTAGTTATCTCTATTCTGTGAAATGAACATAATTCAATTGCTGTAATGCATTACACCAAGCAGTAACAATGCCATGTTTTCTAACTGCTGCTATCTCGGTTTTTGACTTGAAAAAGTGGTACTTCACAGATACTAACAAGCAAGAGTTCTGTAGTAAAAATCAGGATCCGATTGCCACTGTCTCTTCTGAAATAGTAAACAAGACAAACTCCTAGGATCACATGCTTAGATACAACTGTACCTCCTGTCCAGTTCTCCACTGAGTAGACAGAACGAAAGTACTGGCATGTGTAAGTTAGGTATATACATGTACCTCTCTTTGAAGAAACCACTTTTCAAAGCTAGTTCATAAATCTTTGATCTCATCATTCTCTACTACTTACTTTATGGAACTGTAGAACCCCTGCCTATGTTGTCTTGGTTTTCAATACTCTTAACTGTACCTAATATGCTGGCACAGGGTCTTTCTTCATTAGCCAGATGGATCCTTGTCTAAGAATTTCACAGAGCTGCTTTCTCTGTAACATGGCTTCTGTCATTATTTACACTTCTCAATCCAAAGGTCAAATAAACTGATAACAGAGGGCATTTCTCCATCAAAATCAACACATCTTAAAGAAGGAGGTGGGACCTAAAGTGACCCCCGCCACCAAGAGAAGTAACTGCTATGCTTCAACCCAAACAGAGATAGCTGAAATTTTTTACTACGCTTTAACCACATCCCATCACTCAATGGTCAGAGAAAATTGAAGCATGTAATTTTTTTACAAAGGTGATAAATGTTACAAAACACTTCTATTACTACAGAATTCTGGGCTGTAAGTATGTTGAAGTTTTATTAATGGAACTAATTTTAAGTTTTTTCATTAAAAATTAAGCCAATGACTACACCCCCAAAAGTCTCAAAAATAGTGCCATTCTTTTTAGAAGCACTCTCTTCAGAATCCAGGTAGGCAGTGGGTGAACCGCACCATCTGCGACGGTGGACACCACGCCCCAGCTAGGGGGGGCCTTTCGTCTGCCTCAGAACAATGGCGTGTGGTCTGTAAATCCTGGGGTTGAATTTTGGGACGAAAACATGTCCCAGTGTGTTCCATGATCCTCAAAAATGCACGGTGGTATTCTCGTACTCTGCGAGGTGGACTGGGTACCTCGGGAAAGCATTCTCACCAGCCCTGTTTTGCTGACGGCTGCCTGATTTCTTGCAGTGGGATCCATTAACCCTTTCCTGAAGTTAAGGTAATAAAACATAGCTAGCTCCCCTAGGCCCCTCTGAAAACACAGACCCTGTTCAGAATGGTTTTAATGCCATGTTATCAAATGTTTACTATTCAATATTTATCCGAAGGCTGCAGGGAAATTAAAAGTTGAGTGGATTGCAAGGCTCAGAGTCCAGGGCTGGCTGAGCTTTCATCCATTAAATGGGAAACCCCCTTTTGAATACACATTCAAACAACGACAGCTTCTGTAAATGACTCTAAAATACTTTTTTAAAAGAAATCCATCAGGGGATTTAACCACAGAAAGAGCAACAAATGCAACCTTCACATTTAAGAGAGAGGGTGGGGGAGCTAAACAGCTAACACAGGAAACAGAACGGGCTTCCATTTCCTCATAATGGGAATAAAACCCAGGCCCGGACAGCTATTTCCTTATTGAGTCTCCAGGGAGAAATTACCCTTGTGCACCAGTTCCTGTTCACTCACCAGACAGTCGAGCTGAGAGACGGGGCTCTTATTGCCGGGGTGGCTGATGTCCCAGACCTTGACGCAGCCCTTCCCACCCGTGTACACGTGTCTCGTGGGGTTGCTGATGGTCACCGCGCACACCACCTCCCCGTGGTTCAGGGTGTTGATCTGGCGAGCGTGTCGGGGGATGCCGGGCCCAATGAGGGCGTCGGGGGGGAAAGGGACCGGCTGCATCTGGCCATCGGCCGTCACGTGGAAGGAGTATGCACTTTTGGACAGGGAATGATTGGAGAGAAGAGAATGACATGAAACAGGAAAATCATTCATCATAAAGCAATTAGTCGCAACCTCAGCACGCTTCTATGAGAAAGACAAAAGGAAAGATTTGCTTGTTAGGATTTCCTTTTAAAATCACACATAAGTTGAAGTATTTACTGATGAAACAAATTTAAAAGAGTAATAGAAACCTAAGGTGTACCAAAAGACACATATACTGGATTGCATTTAAAACCTTTTAAATTGTGTTTATCCATTCCATAAAGACTTCCTTCAAATCCCACGATGAAAAACTAAATGTGCCTCCAAATTAACATCAAATACCTCCTTCCAAGTACCTTATATAACTATATCATTTCTTTGTATGACTTAAAATGATTACTTTTTAAAAAACATTTTATTTATTTATTTCTAGAGAGAGGGGAAGGGGGGAAAAAAGACATTGAATCAAGAGACAAAACAGAGGGCAAAACATTGAATCAAGAGACAACTATCATCAGCTGCCTGCCACACCTACATGTGTCCCAATGGGAGACCGGACCAACAACCCAGGCATGTGCCCGACTGGGAATTGAACCGGCGAACTTTTGGTTTGCACGATGACACTCAACCAACAGAAGCACATCGGTCAGGGCAAAATAATTATTACTGATGACTATGACTAGAGCTTAAGAACTCATAATAATTACAAACAGCAACAGTATATCGCAACACTAACAGAAACAGCTTTCTAAAAGTTCCAGTTTAAGACTTGAATTTAAGCTCCGTTTTGCATAACCAAAAGACAAGAAAATAAAGAAAATAAAAGAAAATAAAGAAAATAAAAGAAAATAAAAGACATTCCGTTCGGTCAAATGGCTTTGTGACAGAAATTTCAAGTGTCTTCCTCAACACTCTCCCTATCTACCTTGACCACAAACTCCAGCAAAGCTCCCAACTTTCTAGCCAGGTGAGGCTCTGCTCTGACCAAAGAGACCCAGCAGAAGCAGCTGGTACTTAGAGGAACTTCTTAACCTAAAATAAAGGAGACCTTGTGGAAGACACGAGAATTATCTGTACGTTCCTCTCAATTTTGCTGTGAACCTAAAACTGCACTAAGAAATAAGTTTATTAATTAAAGACACAAAAGAAAGAGAAAGAATTTTAAAAGGGGGAGGGGAATGTGCCTGCCCCCTTCTCTTCCTCCTTCTTGCTAACCTGAAATATAAGCAAAATGACTGGAGCTCCAGCAGCCTTTTGGGACCAAAATGTAACTCTGAAGATGGAAACCAATTACTGAGGAGGCAAAGCAGAGAGATGGATGCAGAGGCCTTGGTGACACTATGGGAGAGAGAACTAAACTTTATCTTTGCCCTACCTACACCCACACTGATGGACTTATGCACGTGGCACTGAAGACCACTTTCACTTTCTTCTTGTCAGTAGCATCCCTAGGTGGTCCAGAAGTTCCACATTAAACCTTTTCTATTCGTGTGCATGCATAAACGATAAATGAAGTATGCAGTTTCCTCTCTCCCATACCCTCTGTGACAAATCTGGGCACTCTTGGAAACTTGTCATTGGCACCTTGCAGTCCCTTTACAGATCTAAAGACCACGGGTATTAATATATCAAGTCCACACGATATTTCAATACATGCACATTACATAGTTAATTGAACCTATGCCATTTACTATACTTGAACCAAATAGCACTTTCTTGCCCTTGAAGATGAGACAAGAACTGGGGTTTAAGTCGAGTCATGTCCTGGGAGAATTATTCACGGTCCAGTATCAAGTTATGGAACTCAGACGTTAGGCACCCAGACCTGGGTCTGAAAACAACAAATAACCAGATGAAGCTGGAGAAATGACCAATCGAATTAATAACATTGTAATAACTATATATGGTGCCAGGCGAGTATTGGAAATACTGGAGGGAAGTACTTTGTTAAGTATATGACTGTCTGACCTCAAACGAATACAAAATAACATTGCATATAAGCTGTGATTTTTTTAAAAAAATTGAAATTGAATGTATTTTGGGAGAAGAGTGGTCGATACCGAGAGAACCTGCCCCTGCAAGCTCTCTGTGCCGGGAGAGTAACGGCAGGTGTGAAGGTTAGTTTCTGTTTGCCATAAGTCAACTTCCACACAAGTGAAATGTCCACCAGGAGCCCTTGTAGCAATTCTGGGTTTTCAAAAGGGAAGAAAACTTTTCCTTGCTTCCACTGGACTCCTGCTTATTTTAGAGTTCAATGTTCCAGATCAAAATAGATGCACACGGTGCAGACGGAGAGTTGTACTGTCGTCTCTGGAAGACGCCACCTGTCTCCCAGGTGTCCTCTTCTTTTAAACGGCTGCAGGAGGTCTGTGATCATCATTCTGAGGCAATTTAAAACTGATTCACGGTGCGCTGAACTGCTGCCAGAAGCTGTGAACACTCGTCTGCCCCAGGGGAGACTCGTATGGATGTGAATACGTAAGTCCTACGGGGCCTCGGAGGGAGCTGGCACTGCCCACTGTGCTGGGAGCCTAATCAAGTGGACAACCCCGAACTATGTAGGGTGGAGGGGTCTCAAAAGAGGAGTAAACTGGAAGCAAAACCAGGGGAGCAAACGAGATGGTCTGGAATTAGTTATTCTCCCACAGGTAGAACAAGACCGTCTCTGAGAAAAGGCTGCATGGATGGTGCACCACAACGTTACAGGGATCCGGAAGGAAGCTTCCTTCCCTACAGAGTGAAAAACTAAAAAAGGTCAAATCAGCCAGGAAGGGGCATTTACAGAGTATATTTATAAATATCTCTCAAACCTGAATTCGAAATGAGGCCAGTCACAAAGGAGTGCATATGCTGTGACTGCCTGCACAGAAGTTCAACCCTCGGCAAAACCCAAGGTCTGAGTGGTGGGTACCCTGGGCAACCAGAGGGGACACACGGCAGGCTTCTGGGGTGCTTTTGGGGGAAAGCCACTGAGCTACAGGCATATGGTTCATGCACTTTCCTCTATGTCCATATCAATAGTTAAAATCTTATGTTCGCTTGTTTATTCACGAGAAAAGTTGAGGGGAGGGCTCCCGACGAATGAACATGTTAGACCAGGTCCACAGCCAAGTGGAATCCCAGACTTTGGTTTAAACGGACCTGAGACATGAAGCCCTGGCTCACTGGCCTCACTAACTGGGTCTTCCTAGTCAGCCCAACTAACTGAGGCCTGTCATGTGTCTGTTTTGCTAATCTATAAGATACAAATAGTAATAAAACATAAGGGTCGAAGGGGTTGTTGTAAGGATTAAAAGGCGTAACAGCTGCAAAACTGCAGAACACTGACACAGTGCTTGACACCTGCAGGGGCCTTCAGGCGATGACAGTGCTGACATTAAACACCAGTGACTTTAAAAGAGGAAAGAGGATATGTTGAAACAAGGGTTCTTATCTGGACCAGCGGACAAGTGAGGGTCAGGAAGCACAGGACAATGAACAGGCACGAAAAGCCAGGAAATTCAAAGGCATGGGAGGGTGGCACCTGGCAAAGAGGAGAACAGTTGGACAGGATTGTGTCAAACTGCAGGGCAGAAAGAACAGTCCCTGGAGCCCTAATTAGGGCGACTCTGCTAGGGCCACCCTCCTGTGTCCAAGAGAGAGAACAGAGTCCCAGACCCACCCGGCTTTTTGAACCCAGCTTCTGCAGATCCGGATCTTAATGTGAAATCTGGTTGTAGAACTGAAAAGAATAAAGCCCAATGGACATCACAGACTTAAAAACTGAATGAAATCCCACATGTTCAGAGCAGGAGACTCTTCATTTGCTGGGTACACGGCAGAGGAGAAAGAACTCAGAGTTCCCGCCCCACAGGGGTTCCTTGCAGTGGCTGTGGCAAACTGGAAAACAAGACTGCATTCAGGGAAGCAGGTTGTTTTTTCCTGGCAGGCTGGCTCCTGTTAATAAAACTATGCTGTGTTCTATGGCCAAAGGAAAACAGGTGTTTACAGAGTTATTGGTTTGCTGTAAATAGACAGGAACAGCAGCAGCAGCAGAATCTAGTAAACAGTAATGAAGGACCACAGACCCCAGAGGTAATGGCTGTGGCCAAGACTCCGCTGCCTGTGGACTTGGCATGCTTGATGTGCGATTTCTTGCTGTGTTAACAGGCATCAAAAATCTGACTGTGTCAAATACCCTCACCCACTCTTCAAGCTCTTTAGAGACCAAGTCCTTCACAACTGAACCTCATTTCATACAGCTGTCTTGTATCCCAAACTCCCAGCTGTGTGGAACAGGCCAGTCCCTCAAATATCACAGGCTATCACATCTCCACATTGTGCACAGACGGTTCCCTCCTGGCTAGAATGGCACCACCTTCCCCTGAAGTACACTCCTTCCCTCCCCTGCCACAACCTCCCAGCAGGATGACTCTTTTGCTATCAATCCTGACTTCGGCACGGCTCACACTGTGGACTATTTACTGCACGTGTTTACATTTCTGTCTTTCTCATTCGGGAGTTCGTCAGGGACAGGTGGATGACTTCACCAGCTAGCACGTAGCTGGCACTCAGTAAATGAATCCAAACACCCTGAGTTGCTACTGCTACCTAATCACTTATAAAGTGAGGCTTGAAAGGTTGCTCTGGCAAGGAGAGTCAGCTATGACAAGAATGTGGGGAGTCCTCTGACCCCCCCAGGTTACGCCAGCCAACTTTTCCCAAGGAATTTCTAGTAGTTCCACTTACTATCACTAAGAGATGGTATCAACTTTCCTAAGGGGGTGAAAAGCAGCTCCCTGAGAGCTGAGTTGAACCAAAAGGCAATGAAAGCAACTAAACTAAAGGAGTGGAATCCCAGCCAGCAGAACCCAGTGGACATGGGAGCCTTCCAAAGCCAGCTGAGGCAGGAGCTGCATGGGTCATGCACAGCAAGCTCGATCCTGCAGCTGGTCGCTGAAAAGCATGCAGTGAACTACAAGTGAGGAGACACAGAGGCTCCGTTTAGTCACTAGTGAGATGAGGGGATTG